ATGTGCTGGTGGGTTTCTTACCATCTCCCTCCTGCAGGTACGGTGTTTGGAGCGGATGACTTCCTCCCCTGCTTGACCTGGGTGCTGCTGCGGAGCGACTTGGCCACCCTGCAGGTGGACACAGACTATATGATGGAGCTGCTGGATCCCACACAGCTGCAGGGAGAGGGTGAGCTCACTGAAACACGCCCTCTCACCATCCTGTCTCCACATGATGACACAGCGTCTTCCTCCTTCCACAGGCGGCTACTACCTTACGACTCTGTACGCCGCTCTCTTCTATATCAGCAGCTTCCGGCCACGGCTGGCAGCGCGCCAGCTCAGCGTGGAGGCCCAAAACTCTATTAACCAATGGCATCGCAGGCGCACTCTGCATTGCCACCAATCACGGCGCAGCAAGCACCGACTGACGATCCGCAGGCAGTTGGGTCAAAGCAGAGCCAAGCTGACCTCTGAGGCAAAAACGGGGAGTCGGCATGAAAGTGGAGGAGAAAACGACTCCGACAGCAGTTATGTGGAGCAGCAGACAGAAAGCAGCTCAGAAGCTCCGCAAACGCTGAAGGAAAACGCACCGAGAGAACAAGAACTGGAGCAGGAGTCACAAACCACAGCTTCAGGTGGTCCTCGCGTAGCTCAGCAGGAGGTGGGAGGAGATGAGCAGGAAGACAAACACACGGCGGAGGAGGAGGACTGAGGTGAAACAGGAGCTACAAGTAACTCCCAGATATCTGGTATCAGTTCTTCTCGGCGTTTCCACTGAGTCAATCTTCTCATCTGAAAACTGCTTCATCTTCTCTCCCGTCTGTGCTGATGCTCTCAGGATGTGTGAGGTTTCCAGGAGTACACGGCCTCCTGCCACAGTCCAGACATGGATGTGGGGCTGTGGCTCAAGAGGATGGACCAACAAATTAGGGCTTTGTCTTCAGTAAAGAAGGGGTGCACCTTACTGCTCTGTCTACATTCCAGCCGTCTTCTGTGGTCACTGGACCGAAAGAACAAGATGAGGTGACCAGGATGCCTCCTGGTTATTCCTTTGGTGAAATCAGAACTCATCTGAGGGATTATATGTCGTCTAATGTGGGAGCGCCGAGAGAAGCCCCAGTAGGAGCTGGGAGAGAGATGTCGGGGATCCTGACCATAGATGATGGTTAACAAGACGTGTTTCTGGTCATCTGAGAGTCCAACTGTCCTGCACCTCAGAAAAGGATGTCATAATAAGTTCCTAAATGTGTTTGTTTCTCTTTTTAGTTGTTGTACCGTTTTCACACTCAGGCCCCCCCCCCCGGTTTGCGCCAAGTGAAAACAATAAGTGCAATCAGGGGCTGTGAATGAACCGTTTCTCCCCTCCCTGAAAGCACTCATCAGGTGATCTACGTCTCAACCATTGCAGTCAGCTGCTGCGTGAACACCTGTTTCCAACTAGTAGCACAGCATAACTGAAGCGCCAGCGTCAGCCCTTGTGTCTCAGCCCCTCCGGTGTGAAGACATACGTGTATACCTGCGCGTGTCCACAGAGCAAACAAGCTCGACCCAGACGCTGCTCCATCAACACCTTGCAAAATGTGCCATTATCCTATACCTGTGATCACTGGCTTCAGAGGAAGGTCACACACAGCAAACCGCTTTCGCAACCTTCAAAACCTCCGCTCACTAAATCCAACTCCCCCGAAGACACCCACCTGTCTATGGGACTGTGGAACTGTCAATCAGCTGTAAACAAAGCTGACTTCATTACCGCATATGCTAACCACCTGTCCCTCGATGCACTGGCTCTCTCTGAGACCTGGATCAAACCATGTGACAATGCTACCTCATCTGCTCTCTCAGTTAACCACACTTTCTCCCACACTTCTCTTGCATCTGGCCGAGGTGGTGGAATGGGCATGTTAATGTCCAACAAGTGGATATACAGTCAGTTGCTACCATCACTAAATACAACTCCTTTGAATACCTCGCCATCCAGGTAAAGCCGGGCGGACACTGTGCGACTTTTTCACTCGTAGCACTCAAGCTTCAGCTCAAACTGTATGACTTCCTCACAGAGCAGATCTCACGAGTCATGCGCTCACAATGCACGACCCAGTTCTCGGATGCGACCTGACTGCTCACACTGTACGTCTGGTAGCAACACGTCGGACATAAAAATATGCTAAAAATAGCAGTTTTTACTCAACACGTCAGACTTTTTTGTCTTGTTTTGCCTGTTGTCCTTCGGGAGCGCTGCAGGAGGACACACAGGGATTTATGGGGGTTGGATGAGGAAAACGAAATAAAGAAAGTAAATCTGTGTTTTGTGATCGGTTTAATTTGACATGAACACGACAAACACGCTTCCTTGACAATCTTTGTGAGTAAAAAAACGTGTAGAAACAAAAACGAACAACGTGTGTTATTAGGGAAATAGCGGGTGAGCGGCGTTGATGCAGGATTGCACATGCGCCGTGAGCGGTTCTGATACTTTTTGGGTCGCAGCTGCTCGCAGCGCCGCTTCAACAGTGCGATACCCTCACGAGGGACGAGCAAAATTTTAAACACACCAGAAGTCCGTGCAAGCTCACGACTGCTGATCGGTAGCTGGTCACGTGGTGTTAATCGCCTCTCGTAACCCCCGTACACTACACGACCGCTCGGCGCAAAACTCGCCCCGATGTCGTGGATTCTCGCACGAGTGGAAAATCGGCTCAAAAAAGTGAAAAAGTCGCACTGTGTACGCCCGGCTTAACTGTACCGAAAAAATTATTTTTGGTTGTCATATATCAACCAGGTCAACTGGTAGACTTTCTTGATGAACTCGACACCCTGCTCTCCTCCATTCCTGAGCACAACTGTCCCACAATGGTCCTTGGAGACATGAATATTCACCTGGACAATCCCAGCTCATCAGGCTTCCTGTCACTAATGTCATCATTTGATCTAAAACTAGTAAAAAGTCCTCCAACCCACAAAGCTGGAAAAGCACTTGATCTCATTTTCACCAGAAACTGTGCCGTAGACACAATCTCTGTCACACCGATGCATCTTTCCGATCATTACTTCATCCATTTCAGCACGACTACAAGGGAGGTCCACTGCTTCCTCCCCAATGCTCTCATTCCACCGCAACCTCCGCAATCTGGCACCCGACTACTTCTCCTCTCTTGTTGCCTCCACTCTTCCATCTCCCAGCACATTCTCTGCTTATGAAGTGAATGAAGCCACCGAGTCACTCTGCTCCACACTCTGCTCTTGTCTTAACAACTTGTGCCCTTTAGCCACTAGACCTGCTAGATCCTCTGAGTCGCACCCTTGACTGAATGATACCCTCCGGGCTCTACGCACCAATCTTAGAGCTGCGGAACAGAACTGGCACAAAACAAAAGATCCTGGTGATCAACTGAAATTTCAGGAATTACTGTCCTCATTCTCTGCCAGCATCACTGATGCAAAGAAAGCTTTCTACACTGACAAAATTCTCAGCTCTACTGACTCTCAGAAACTATTTTCAACATTCAAAACTCTGCTCACCCCTCCGTCCCCACCTCCTACCAGCAATCTATCAGCTGACACCTTTGCCTCATTCTTCACTGACAAAGTGGCAGCGATAAGCAAACAGTTTACTCAACTGGCCACTCCTGAACATTCACTACCACAAACTCCTTCTAGTCCAACCATCTCAAGCTCTACTGCTTCATTTTCCTCTTGTTCCCCTCTCACTGAGAACTGTGTGTCCAAGCTTCTCACGTGCAGCCGCCCTACTACATGCCCACTGGACCCCATTTCGACTAAGCTGCTCCAAGCTATTGCTCCTACAGTAGCCGCAGCAGTCACACATGTGATCAACGCTTCACTGACATCCGGTACATTTCCCACCTCTCTCAAGCATGCTCAGGTTAAACCGCTGCTAAAAAAAACATCTCTTCCTCCAAATCATGTGGAGAACTACCGACCTATCTCTCTCCTCCCTTTTCTGTCTAAAATCATAGAAAGTGTGGCTTTCAAGCAGATCACAGAATACCTCTCACAAAACTGTCTGCTTGACCCTTACCAGTCTGGGTTCAAAAAGGGCCACTCCACTGAAACTGCTCTGTTAGCAGTGACTGAATCCTTAAAAGAAGCTAGAGCGACAGGCAAATCCTCGGTGCTTATCCTGCTCGACTTATCGGCTGCATTTGACACTGTCAACCATGGCTTCCTTTTGTCCACACTCTCTACCATGGGCATCACAGAGAAAGCACACGCCTGGTTTGAATCGTACCTCACAGGACGATCATTCAGTGTATCTTGGCTTGAACAATCCTCTACCGTGCACCATCTTGCCACAGGAGTCCCCCAGGGCTCTGTACTAGGACCTCTTCTCTTTGCCATACACACCACCTCACTGGGTGAGATCATTCGATCACATGGCTTCTCCTACCACTTCTATGCAGATGACACCCAACTCTCTGTCATTTCCACCGGACGACCACACTGTCTCTGCACGAATATCAAACTGTCTCTCTGACATATCAAAATGGATGAAATCCCACCATCTCCAACTCAACCTCTCTACAACTGAACTACTACTCCCAGCAAAATCATCCATACAGCACAATACCTCAATCCAAAATGACTTCCTATCTCTGGCTCCTTCAAAGGCAGTTCGAAATCTGGGTGTTGTGATTGATGAACACCTGACCTTTAAAGATCATGTTGCCTCTGTTGCTCCTTCATGCCGCTTTGCGCTGTATAACATACGAAAGATCAGACCATACCTAACACAACAAGCCACCCAGCTCCTGGTGCAATCTACTGTCATCTCCCGCCTCGATTACTGCAACGCCCTTCTAACTGGTCTTCCAGGCTGTACTGTGAGACCTCTTCAAACGGTCCAGAACGCAGCGGCGCGTCTGGTCTTCAATCAGCCAAAAAGAGCACACGTCACCCCTCTGTTCATTGAGCTCCACTGGCTACCGCTAGCAGCACGCATCAAATTCAAATTGCTAACACTAGCATACAAAGTCCGAGACGGTACGGCTCCCATCTACCTGAATCCTCTTGCAAAGGCTTACGTCTCGGCCTGGCCGCTCCGGTCATCACAGGATCGTCGGCTAGCAGTGCCTACACCGCGCTCAGGACAATCCAGACTCTTCTCATGCATCGTTCCACAAATGTGGAATGACCTACCAAGCACTACCGGAACTGTGGCCTCCTTTTCAATTTTCAAGAAACTCCTGAAGACCCTGCTCTTCAGAGAGCATCTTCTAAACTAGCACCCTCCCTGCTCCCGTCCCCCTCTTTACCGTCCACTCCTTGTTCCCTCCTCTCCATGATTGATGTCAAGTTGTTGTTATTTTTGTTGTTAGCCTCAAGGGCAACATGCTGATTATCACTTGTAAGTCGCTTTGGACAAAAGCGTCTGCTAAATACATAAACATAAAAGGTGCAGCACTGATGCTCCACACTCCCAGAGACCAGACAGAGCTCAGAGACATTTCAGACAAATGTTTTTAAGGTTTTGGCTGATTATCCATCATCTCAGTAAGCATAACTGAGCTAACATGCTATATTTAACTTAATGATGCCTTTTTTATTCATTTAAAGTGTGTTTGTGGTTCCCACCTGAGATAGACTTCCTTTTCAGCCTGCTTGAGTGTTTCATCAGCAGATCCATTTTTATAAAGACAAGGTAGAGAATACAGTTAATATGAAGTTAGCTGTTTGTAGTTTTACAGAAAAGTGTTGCTGAGTACATTATTTATTATGTGTATTAAAGCTGGAAGCGTTACACGTTATATTAGATACTCTCACATAAACACCACAGGTGAACTGGTGTTGGTGCTTTTGCTTCTTTCTGAATAAATGAGATCATTTACTCTCTGAGTTTAACTGTCTTTTATGGCTGAAGTCTGTTATTTAATCTGGCAGATTATATTTTAGTGATGCAGCAACGTGTTTCTCGGACATGCTTCTTTCTCCCACCGATTCTCTCCGCAGCAGCCACTCAGCTGACCACTAGGGGGCAGCATTTACCCTCCTCTAAGAGGTGACGGTTAAATATCTGAAGAAGAAGTGCATTGTTTTTGTGTTCTGAATCAAAGTAAATAATTATAATTGCACTTCTTCAGGACTAAACATTTTTGGATCGGAAGCAGAATCCACACAAGTCCAAAAGAAATGTTGCAGCATCAGAGGAGGTTAAAGCACTGAAAATATTCACTGTGGGGTGGGTGTAGAAGACCAGTAAGTTAGGTCAGCAATAGAATCCCCTCTCCCCCAGTTTAGCTGCTACTGACCACAAGGTAAGCCTGATGGTGGCTCTTTCCTCCTGAAGGTCAGATTAGAAGTTCTCTGAATTTACAGCCATTTTACCGTGGCTCTTCTGTGCAGAAGGGCCGAGCTCCGAGTGTAGCCACATCCAGGAGGGCGCACCCGTTGCTATCCCGTGGCTACGAGAACCAGGGGCGTGTCCAGAGAGTGGCCTGGGGTAGCACATGCCACCCTTGGAATCTGATTGGCCACCCCAAGTGTCACCACACTAATTTACCTTCAAAAAGGCTTTTCATTGTCTACAAAAGACTTGGGGGTAAAACAAAAAAAGCATAACCATTGCTGCTGCCCATGCACAAAGTTGTGCCTCACCTGGGCCACCCCAGTTTAAAAGATCTGGACACGCCACTGACAAGAACAGCCAGTGTCCATACCTATGAAGTGCTGTGACAGCACCCACTGCTCCGACGGACTCCTTTACATTAAAGATTTAGCGACAGGTCAACACTTACCTGAGAAGCATTGTTTGGGCAGTTTTTTTAAGTTTATTTTTGAAACTTTGTTAATATTTGATGTTTAATGAATGTCTTTGAACCAGGGCTGCCAACTCTAATGCACTGAGCGTGAGACGCACGCATTTGACCCTCTTCGCGCTGTCACGCCACACCTCCAATCTGTCACGCTAAACCAGCGCCTGCAACGCGCGTCACGCACAGTGTGTAGGGCTTATGAAAAAACCAGATGATATTAATTATAGCGTTAGCTACTGAACAACATGCACACAAACAGCACGTAAGTAATAGTTTAACTGGTGTTATTTCACACACCGAATCCCATCTGTATAATCCAAGCCGACGTGCTTTTCTCCCCTCTGGTGGTGAGATGGGCGGAGCGGTGAGCTCCACCTGCTGCTGATGGGACAGGCATGCCCGGTTCTTTCTCCCAGAACCGTGAGTCGGGGGGGGACTTGAGCACCTGCCCCTTTTGTCCGAAGTACCCAAAGTGCCCTTTTTCCGGTCGTTCGTCAGATATTTTACCGTACAAAACTGTTATACTGTGATACCTATCGGGCACTAGGACCATGCGGAGGCAGCCGCCTCAAGCTGAAGCCTATTTTCATTTAGACCCGCCTACAAGCTCACTGATTGGCTCTGCCGCATCATACTAACGTGTGATTGGTAGTCTCTGCTGTTGCTCTACCTTGTAGCCATGGAGACAACAGACCAGTGTTTTGCCTGCAGGCAGGAGTCTGCCTTCTTCTAACTGTTAGTTTTTTTCTGCCTGCTTCACATCAGCTGGATGGATTTTAATATCAGAGCTTTTGTTTACGTGAGTTTGAGTCCGTGGTTAGTGTGTGTGGAGCAGAGTCAGGTAGCTGCATGTCTGGGACAGAAAATGAGACACGAGAGAGACTTCTCCTGAAGTGTTGAAGATACTCACAAAGAATCACAGATGTTGATATTTCTCACTCTAGATTCTCCGGGTCATAACTTCTGAATTACTAATCGAATAAACATAATTAAAACGGTTTCTAAAAGCACATAAAACGAGCTTTCCAACGAGGTATTACATGATGTAATTCATGTTACTCCAAAAATCACTATTAGAAGGAAACCAGCTTTGCAGCGTCACAGAAAGAAACGGAGCGAACCGCGACGGGAGAGCGAGAACCAAAGGGAGGAGATGATCTGATCCTCTTCATCAGCAGCTTTTATAAAGTTATGGAAACAAACGTCACAAATAAAATCCACCTGGTTGGTCAGGTGTCCCAGAAGGCTGTTTCTGTAGATGGTGACATGAGGAGGGACAGAAGTCACACTGGTTTTTATTTGAACACTCAACTGTTTACTAAATGATTCAGCTTCATTCCAGCATTATTTATACTTACAATAAATATTTATTTAGCCGAAAATATCATTTTATCAGTGCAGAATTTTATTAGTTGACTTTTTGTAATGAAATGTTTACATTTAACCTTTTATCTGGCTTATTGATCTTCATGATGCTGGTAGAAATGTAGCTACAGCTGTGAAGTAGCCCATGAGTGTTATTTTATGATACCTAGTATTTATTTTACTGTATCCCGTTCTCTGGACCAGAGCATAGACCTGTGGTCACAGACAGGCTGCAGTCGTTAAACTGGTTAACATGAGGCCAGGGGTCACACTGTTTTCTGAGTGTTTGCAACACAGTTCTGAGTTTAAATAGTTCTTTTGACATAGTTTGCTCAAGTCATTTTGAAGTTCCTGTTTAGTAATAAATGTAAAGAAAATTCAAATCTGTTTTTTTTTCATTTAAGCTGCAGTTTTACAGACTTTAATAAACATAAACACTAAATACAAACTAGACACTGAAAGCTGAGGCTGTTCTGAAAAAAGGAGCAGAGTTACAAACATTTTACACTTTTATTACAATTTTGAAGCCATAAAACAAACAAACATACTTGTTATATTTATGGTCATAAGAGGGTTAACCGTGATGAATGTTCCACCTCCCACAAAGAGATGGTAAAAGTGAATGTGAGCATAATTATATACATTTTATTACTTTATTATGTATTTTTTATTATTGACTATTACTCCAAAGAGTTCAGATGAAGGCAACTGGACTTCTTTGGTTTCTTTAAAACGTTTCACTTCTCCTCTGAGGAGCTTTGTCAGTTCTAACTGGAATATGGGAGAAGAGCTACAGCTACAGCTCTAGAGACAGCTCATAAGCTGTAGCTGTCTGTTGTTACTTAAAGAGCAGAAACTACTCTGAGTACCCCGCCTCCCCATCTCCTGATGAGCCGTTAGCCTCTATTGGTGGTGAGTCATCGTGTTGATTAGATGCAGGAAGGTGTGACCGAGACTGAAACTGAATGAGATTCAAAGCTGCATTATTGGTACTGGAAAGGTGAAATCTAAGCCCCTCCCCTATTTAAAGGGACTTTACGGAGTTTTGAATTTTTATGCCCGCGATTGCCCCCTCAGGCCAAAAACGTAACGGCAGCTTCAATAGGAGGCTCGTGCACGAGGCGCATGCTGTACGTGCACACTCCTTAACGAAAATAACAGCTGAGACAGTCCCGTGTGTGTGTGTGTGTGTGTGTGTGTGTGTGTGTGTGTGTGTGTGTGTGTGTGTGTGTGTGTGTGTGTTTGTGTGTGTTTGTGTGTGTGTGTGTGTGTGTGTGTGTGTGTGTGTGTGTGTGTGTGTTTGTGGCCCGGAGGACAGGAGAACACGCAGCTAATTAATTAAATAATTTGGTTCTGTACCTTTCTCTTCAGCACAGCCGACAAAGGTTTATGATGGATCAGTCCTCCTGCATGCTCAGATCATTCCCTTCCCTTGCTTGAAAAGTTGTTCTAAAATGAAATTCACATCTTTTTTATCTGTGAATTCAATGCCGTTCGGCGAGTCTCAGATAAAAATTTGGGCATCTTACTGTAAAAAAAATATACCATTAATGTAAAAAAGAAACTCTAAATAAACCATGTTCACATCTGGAATCAAACCCAGGTCTTCTGCACAAAAGTCCGAAGTCTTACTAGGCGAGCTAAAGCGCCAGTGATGTCTTCTGTATCTGTAAAATTTATGTCCTTGATCACAGCTGAAACAGTGTTCAAAGAACGGTTCGAAGGGCGATGCCTGAGCGTGAACGCGCATGAAGCAGCCTGCTCGACCCGAGCATCTCTCTTTTTCTGTGATTTTACAGAAAAACAGGCAATCACAGTAAAAATGCCAGGGCTCATTCTACAGTACCAGGGCATTGCAGGAGAATGTATGAAGAAGACATTTATTATTTCTATACATGTTTTGGCTGTCAGACTTCCATAATGCCCCTTTAAAGTGGGATTTTCACATTTTTACATAGATAGCTTCTTTTACTCCTCTCTCAAACCATCTATCTTCTCTGTCCAGAATGTGGACTTTGTCATCTTCAAAGGTGTGTCCCTTGTCCTTCAGGTGGAGGTGGACTGCAGAGTTTTGACCTGAAGAGGTGGCTCTCCTGTATTGTGTTATGTTCTTGTGTACTTGTTGTTTAGTTTCTCTAATGTAAACATCTGGACAGTGCTCACTACACTGGACTGCATAAACGACCCCACTGAGCTTCTGTTTGGGTGTTTTGTCTTCTGGATGGACCAGGTTCTGTCTGAGGGTGTTGTGGGGTTAAAGTTTACCGGGATGTTGTGTTTGGAGAAGATTCTTCTAAGTTTCTCTGAGACTCCTGCCACGTGTGTGATGATGGTGCCTTTGTGTAAAGGGTGTTGTTGTTAGGTTGGTAGCAGAGCTCTCATGTTTAGTGTTAAGTTCAGTGAGATCATGGAATGGGATCAAGAATTTTCTACAGACAGGAAAAAGATCTCAGCTAACATAGCTGTAGATCACACTGGATAAGTCTCTGTGGTGCATTTATTTTACTACCTCTTACTAGAGCTGTCTTTAGTAAGCACAACATATCTTTGGTTGTACACCTGTGCAGTAGCAATAAAGTATCTTGATTTCTGTTAAATGTACTTCCTGAATGAGTGACTTTTCAGGCTAAAATAACAAAATGACAAATACAGACAGAAGGACGACTTCTTTCTTCTTTTATAATGTGTTGCATCGCCACCTGGTATCAGAACAGGACT